ACCAAGCCTCCGCTTTCTACTGCTACGAGCTGCCCGAGGCTTGGCAGCCGTACATGACCCTCGCGGAGGCGATCCCGAACGAGCTCATCGGCGTGCCGGGTCCTGGGAAGACACACCTCGCCCTGCGCGTCATCCCGATGGGCTGGATCAACGCGGTCACGGTGTTTCAGCACTGCCACAGGCGCCTCGGGCTCGGCTCTCGCCCCCTCGCTGCGGGGTTTCCCGCGGAGCTCGAGTGGCGCAAGGACCGGCCACTTCCGTTCAAGTCGAAGGAGCTCGAGCAGCAGTGGATCCAGTACTACATCGACGACTGGGACCATGGCGAGGTGGTGCCCAACGCGATGGTCGCGGAGCTCCTCGGCACGATGAGCTGCGCGCAGGAGGAGCAGAGGGCCGCCTACGGCCGCTCGGGGATCAGCGTCGCCCCCGGCAAGGCCAAGCACCGCGCGCTGGTCCTGGAGCGGATGGGCGCGGGTCTTGACGGGGCCGTCGGCCGGGTCGGGGTCACGACCGAGAAGCTTCACCAGCTGCTGGCGTTCATCCTGTGGGGCATGGGCAGACAGGGCCTCTCGTCGCAGGGCATGCTCATGATCCTAGGCAGGTGCGTCAGGGCAGCGGAGTTCAGGAGGCCTTTCATGGGGTTCCTCAACAGCGTGTGGGCTGCTGGGCGCTGGACGCGCCCGCAGGCTGTTCCCCTTGGCATGTGCGACGAGCTCTTGGGCTTCGCGATGGCGCTGCCGCTGGCATACACCGACCTGCGCGCAAGGATCGACACTTGTGTCATTGCGACCGATGCCAGCGAGCGCGCCGGGGGCATTTGCCACACGGCCGGGCTCTCGGCGCAGGGCGTTGCCTGCGCGAGAGGGGGAGCATCAGCAGTGACTTTGCGGCCTGGTGCAGTTGCGGCTCCTGTGCGTGGTGTGCGGTGGCGCCCTCGCATAGTTCTCATCGAGCTCTTCGCTGGCGCTGCTGGGGCCGCGGTGGCGGCCTCCAGACTCCCGATCGACGTGATGGCCCACGTCAGCTGCGAGGTCGAGCCCGCTGCCCGGCGACTGGTGCGTCGCCGCTGGGCGGGCGTGATTGAGCTTGGCAACATCGAGGCCGTCGACGCGGCGCGGTTTACTGAGATGCTGAAGGGCTACGCGCGGGACGCCGACTGGGTCGTCTTGACCGCGGGGAGCCCGTGCCAAGACCTTGCGAGCATCAATGTCGTGGGGACCGGCCTAGAGGGGTCGAGGTCGAGGCTCTTCTTCCGGGTCCCCGAGCTGATCCAGGCAGCGGAGGCTGCCTTTCCCAAGCGCACCATGTGGTTCGTCGAGAACGTGTTCAGCATGACCCTAGAGTCGAGGGCGGAGTTCACCAGGGCGCTTGGAGTCACGCCCGTGTTCCTCGATGCCAGGTGTCTCACTCACGTCAGGCGGCCCCGCCTGTACTGGTGCTCGTGGCCGGTCACGGCGTTCTTGGCGTCCGACGCCACCGTCGAGACCAAGGGTGTGGGAGAAGCCGCGTACTTCAAGGTCTCGCTTGCGGTGGAGAGGCTCCCACTGAGTGCCTCGCTCCTGGAGGGCTGGTCGACGCTGGACCCTGAGGCAGACCTCCCGTGCTTCACGAGGCCAATCCCGCGAAGCCACCCGCCGTTCCGGCCCGTGGGCCTCGACCGCGCCTCGGTGCTGGCCGCGGAGCGCTGGGCTGCCGACAGCTACCGCTACCAGGTCAACAACTACGAGGACGGCAGCCTCATCTGGGACGCGAGGCGTGAGCGGGGCCGGCTGCCCGTGCCTGAGGAGCGTGCTGCTCTGATGGGGTTCGACCGTCTCTATTTCCAGGCCGCTGTAAAAGATAGTGCCCCCGCCGCCGAGCGAGACAGCGTCATTGAGTCCCTGATCGGGAATACGTTCTGCGTCCAGGCTGTCATGTATCTTCTCGGCTCGTGGCTCGCTCAAGTGGGGGCGCTAGCGGCCGCCATCCCAGGCAGCAGCTGCCTCGCTGTGGGCACGTGCGAGGCGAACTGGAACGTGGTCCCCGACTTCCAGCAGCCGGGACATCACGACCCGCAGTTGGAACGCAGCCTGATCGTAGAGTTCCTGCGGGTCGCGGACCGCGGGGGCACGGACGTCCGGCTTGACACCGGGGCGCCCTACCGCGCCCGCGCGTGGCCGCGGGCAGCACTCCGTACGCACCTCTGGGCCTGGCGGATCGCCAAAGGCTTTCGCTGGCAGCGGCCTGGGCACATCTCGGCGCTGGAGCTGGAGGCTGCGGTGGCTGGAGCGCGCTGGAGGTGCCGGGCAGTTGAGAACCACCGCTGCCGCTACCTGCACATTCTGGATGCCCAAGCGATCGCGGCAGTCGGCACCAAGGGCAGATCGAGCGCGAGGGCTTTGCAGCCAGCGCTCCGCCGGCTCAACTCCCTGCTCCTCGCGACGGCAGGGTACCCGCTGTGCGGCTACTGCGACACCGACGACATGCCCGCCGACACGCCGTCCCGCTGGAGCTTCGGCCGCCGCTGCCACGCTCCCAGTGCTGCCGCCGGCGAGGGCCAGGAGGGCCGCCCCCGGCAAGCGCGCAGCGCAAGCAGCAGCAAAGGTGAGCCAGGTCACGGCCCAGGCGATGGCGCGACGAGCTGCAGCGAGGTCCCAACCGCTGAGGGAGGCGATGGTCACGCCGCTCACCCTGCAGCGGTACCGTGCGGCGGTCGATGATGTCGTTGATTTCTGGATCCAGGAGCACCGGCAGCCGCAGACGCCCGCTCAGGTCGACGCTGGCGTGGCCGCCTTCATCGAGAGCCGTTGGCTGAGCGGAGGATCTTTATTTGAGATTAATAATGCAATCGCAGGCATCACGCACGCATTCCCGCCCGTGCGAGGGCACCTGCGGGACAGCTGGCGCTTGGCCAAGACGTGGCAACGCCTGGAGCCAGCTGGGCGGGCGCTGCCGATCGGGCCGCTGATTGCGGCAGCGTTCGCAGGGGCATTTGCGGCCGTGGGCCAGCTGGGCGCTGCGGCGGTGCTGGCAGCAGGCTACGACGCATTCCTCCGGACGGGTGAGATGACCTCGCTCGTGTGGTCCGACGTGCAGCTGTATCCACTCCGCCAAATGGCCGTGCTGCAGCTGCGCAACACCAAGAGCCAGCATCAGACTGGTGCCCGAGAGTTCGCGCTCGCGCGGAGCGGCGTAGCGGTCGCCCTCCTCGCCAGGGCAAAGGCTCAGGCGCACAAGCAGGACTTGTGCCTCGGGATGGAGCCAAGCAGTTTCATGAGCACCTTTGGCCGCGTGCGTGAGCTGCTGGAGCTGCAAGATGCGAAGCTCACCCTCTACAGCTGGCGTCGGGGCGGCGCGTCCGCCGACTTCCGCAGCCACGGCTCCATGGAGCAGACGCTGCTCCGAGGCAGGTGGGCCTCGGCGCGCACGGCCCGCTTGTATGTCCAGGATGCCGTCGCCGAGGCCACTCAATTAAATCTCTCGCCCACGCAGCGGAGGCGCTGCGGCCTGCTCGCGTCCCGACTGCGAGCAGAAGCGAGATGAACTGTTCTTGCTTTGTACTGCCTGTCTGTCTGTCCCGCCCATCCTCCACCTTTCCTCCCTCATTTCATTAAAGCAGGGTGGAGGAAATAGGTAAGAGCAAGAGGGAGCGGCTATTGCCAGGGTAGGGACCGTGGAGAGAGCTAGGGGGTTCAGGGGTTGGTGACGTTAACCTCCCGGCGGTGCAAGTGTGTCAGCTCGTCTGGGATGCAGCGCGGGTGCTTAAGCGCCACGGCTGTGCCAGGCGGGTTGGGAGGCCCTTGGATGCCGCTGACGGGACGGGACCTCTCCCAACTCCTGGGTTGACCCCTGAGTAGCCCCCAGAGGTCCTGGCCTGACAAGCTCCCTGGCGGAGTGCACAAAAACAGGTGTAGACAAGCATATAGTAACCTTCCAAGGAAGCCTATGCGGAGTCCACCTGAGCGTGCGCGACGCCGTTGATGGGGAACGGTTGAGTTTCATCCATCTTCCGTAGCTGTGTTGGCCCACCCACAGACAGGGGGCAGCATAGCTACCGTCTCGCGCGTGGCCGTGCCTGCCTCCGCGCGAGTGATTGCCAGGACGAGAGCTAGGGGGTTCAGGGGTTGGTGACGTTAACCTCCCGGCGGTGCAAGTGTGTCAGCTCGTCTGGGATGCAGCGCGGGTGCTTAAGCGCCACGGCTGTGCCAGGCGGGTTGGGAGGCCCTTGGATGCCGCTGACGGGACGGGACCTCTCCCAACTCCTGGGTTGACCCCTGAGTAGCCCCCAGAGGTCCTGGCCTGACAAGCTCCCTGGCGGAGTGCACAAAAACAGGTGTAGACAAGCATATACATATATATGTGTATATACTTATATATGAAGATATGTGTATATTCATACACATGTATGTGTATATGGACTACGGATAGGTATGTAGATGCGTGCAAGTGATTACAGTTACAATTATACATTAATAGATATATGCATGTCTATATCTTTGTGTGTCTATATATATATATATATATATATATATATATATATATATATATGTATACACATTTACATATGCACACACCTATCAACACATGTATATGCATGCGTACATATCTAGAAATATGATCCTCAGGAGTGTGTTGGCCCAATGTGTGTACGCTGGTCAGCTCCACCACGGCGATTGCCCACAGCTGTGCGGTGCCCGAGAGAGCGCGCCGCCGCCGCTCGCAAGCGACATTGCCGTATCACCGGTTCGTTGTGTGCTTCAGGGGCACGTGAACGCGACAAGCGTGAGCGTGTGTTTGTGTGTGTGTGTGTGCGCTTGTGTGTATGCGTATGTGTGTATGTGTGTGTCTGTGTTTGTGTGTCAGATCTCCCTTGTGGCTCTTCGCGCTGGCCGCGTGCGCTCACGAGTGTGTGTGTGTGTGTGCGTTTGCGTGTGCGTGTGTGTGTGTGTTTTTGTTCAGCGTCCTCTCTTCTCTCCTTCCCCATACTCCATCACGCCCCGCGGGCGGGGCTGGGGCAAAAGGCGCCGCCGCCCCTGTGGCTGCCGGAGGACAGGGAAAAGAAGGCCCCGCGGGTCGCCGCCGCCATCGCCGCTGGCGTCGCCGCTGCCGCCACCTTCGCTTTCCGAGCTTCCCTCCGGCGTCCTCCACCGTCGTCCTCGATTGAAGGTCGCGGCCCCTGAGATCCCAGCGCCGGGCGCTTTCGCCCGTTGTCGGTCCCTGGGACCTGCACCGATCGACCCGGCCCGAAACGTGCCGCAGGGAGGTGGGGCCTGGCCTCCCGTCGTGCTGCTTCGCGATGCCGCAGAGCTTTCGCAACGTCGGACCTCAGGGGCTCCAAGATCGGTGCGCTTGGGCGTTCTGCTGGGCCTCGGCTTGGCGCCGTCGGGGCCTTCGCCCGGGTCCGCCTCGACATGCTGGCCAGCACGCGGCCGGAGGACCGGCCCAGGGGTCGCCAGAGGCCGCCGCGGGCGTCGCGGGCCCCGCCGTTGGCTACGGGGGTGATGTCTACAGTCAACCCGCGTAGTGAGGATGGGCACCCTTCGCAAGGGTACCCGTTGCATCCTTGCCTCATCGGTCCATCCTTGGCCACTTTCGCCGGCCGCGCCCCGCTCGAAGAGCTTCGAGATGGGCTTCCAAGGCCCTTGCACCCTCATCGCGCATCCTTACTGTACGGGTGGACCGTATGGTGTGTTGTCTCACGTCTCCGCGCGGCAGAGGCCGTCCGCACGCGCGTCCAGGCAACCCGGGCTGCGGTGTTGCGAGTTGTCCCGCGTGCAAGAGGGGGGAGGAGACGAGGAGCGGCCGCAGAGGCAGGCGGGGGGAAAAGAGGGCGCACTCACGCGGGGGGGGGGGCCGCGCAGGGCGGCCGAGCCGCATGGCAGCCCCTGGCAGCGAGCGCGCGGCGGCGTCGAGTGCGCACCCAGGGGGGATGTCGACAGTCAGCCCCTTGCATCCTCCCCCTCCAGCCCATCCTCGGCCGGTTTCGCTGGCCGCGCCCCGTTCGCAACGCGTCGACATGGCATTCCAAGGCCCATCCTTATCGCGCGTCCTCATTGAGCGGGTTGACTGGATACCACGGCGGGGGCATGATATTGATCTGCCCAGTTTTCAGAACACTCCTCTCCCTCGGGTCGGCCGCAATTGTTTTCGCTCAAGTCTGTTTGGGGCGGCGACGCTTGAGGTGATTGACTTCGACTGCCGGCATCTTGCCCCTGCAGCTCCCCCCGACAAGCAGGTCAGCGATAGCCGCCGCAGCGAGATGGCGAGCCACGACGCGGGCATGCGGAGCGAAACCAGCTACGAGGACAGCTCCGACGCGGGCGCCTACGCCAACACAGACGCCAACCCTCTCAACGCTCAGGACGTGGTTCAGGCCGTTTTGGATGAGGAGCGAGTGGAAGAGCAGGGGGAGAGCGACGGCCTCGACTTTACCGATGAGGACATCGAGGCCCCGAGGGCTCAGATGCATCTTCGCGCTCGCGCCGGAGGGGCGGTGGTATTCCCAGCTCCGGCGGGTTCCCTGCCCGTCGCTGGCGAGCTGGTGGTCGCCCCCGCAATGCCGGCGAACACCGACGAGCGAGCGCAGATCGACCCGCCAGGCGTGTATTCAGAGCCCCGAATCATCAGGGGTAACTCGGGTCAGGGATAACTCGGGTTCGTTTTCCGGGAATCCAAACCCGAGTTACCCCGGACCCGAGTTACCCCGGATAACTCGGGCGTCCAGAGCCCCGAATCATCAGGGATAACTCGGGTCAGGGCTAACTCGGGTCTCTTTTCTGGGAATCCAAACCCGAGTTACCCCGGACCCGAGTTACCCCGGATAATTCGGGCGCCCAATGTATGCTGCCAGCTGCGAAGCCACGGCGCCCCCCGGCGCCCACCCTCGGGCGGTGCCTTCTGCGTCACCCAGCCGTGGCCGGGGTTCGGGCGCAGCTGGGCAGCGGGCTCGCTTGGAGAGGGCCGACCTTCAGAGCGTGAATTACCGACCCCGCTTTCGCTTCCAGGCAAAACCAGGCCATACCACGCGCCTCCTCGTCAAGCGGCCTGACCAGTACAGTCTGCGATTTGGCATCGTTTGGTATCTCTTGGAAGCGAGGGTGGTCAAAAGCGAGGTAGGTTTGTTTTCCCCTCAGACTTGCCGCTGATCAGGGTCCTCAAATTCTTGGATGTGACGGTCAGGACGCGGTTCTCCGTCGGCGCTTTGGACGGCGGCATTGCGGTGTTTCGCGCCCAGACCGGCGGCACGACCGAGACCTCGCCGAATGATGTCGTCGTCACGGCGCACAACCGCATCGCCAGGCTGGGGTCAGCGAAGACATCGAAGCCGCGGTGACAAGAAAGGTCCGCGGCGGCTCGAGCTGGGACGATGGCCAGCTCCAGTCGCCTCCCATAGCTTGGCAATGCCGGGGCTGCCTGACGCCTAATCGGAACGGGCTGGTGTGCTTCCAGCGCGACACTGCCAATCTTCTTCTCGCAGACGGTGGGCTCAGCATCAACGACAGCACCGAAGACGAAGGGCTGGAGGACACCATGCAAGGCGATCCAGCACCGCAGGACGGCGCTGACGAGGAGTTTCTTCCCGTAGCTCAGGCGCCAGCCCTGCCGATCGTGATGGCCGCCGTCTTGGACAGGAATCAGGTTATTTGGGCGGGGACCGCGGGCGAGATGGACAGCGAGACGGGAGACGACGACGACGACGATGACGACGACGACGACGACGATGACGAGCCGGATCCCCCGGACGCAGCGCCGCATACCGAGGCCGTGGAAGCCAGTTTGGCGATCAACGGTCGCCCAGTATGCCAGGGACGTCAGGCTCGGAGATTCGCTCACGTCGCAGACTTGATCGCGGGCTTGTCGGTGGACCAGAAGGTGGTGACCTCGCCCGCGGTTGACTCGACGACCACGGGGAACGTCTCGGCGACGCCGGGGGGCGAGCCGGGCTCGGGGTCGGCCGGGGCCCTGGGGCCGACCCATCCTATGCAGCTGGTCGATGCCAGCGTTCGCAGGACGCCGTCCACTGACGCGGAGGACCTTGCCGAGCGGGACACCCTCATGGGCGGCGTCGAGAGCGGGGCGGGGCAGGCCGCGCGGCAGAGCGGCGCGTTTGCGGCTGTTCCGCGCGCGGTGGCGGTTCAGGCCGACGTCGGCCTCCCAGCTTCTCCAGAGGGGCGAGGCCGCGACCCGCGGCGCTTTCGAGGCGTCTTGGCCGGGCAGTCGCCTTCGAGTTCGAGCGCCATTGTCGCGGCAGTCGGCGGAGTGGCTGATCAGGATCAGATCGACCATCTCGGGCAGGCTGCTTCCACTCGACCAGACCAGGCCGATGCCGAGACGATGATAATCATGAGTCATGCAGGAGACGCTTGCCCCGTGGAGCCCAGCTTCGCGCCCCTTGAGGACGACCAGGCCGCAGCGCTCGTTGCCCTGGACAGTGGGCCAGAGAGCGCGGCAGCCGATCGCCGGCAGGCGGTGGGCGGCTGGTCGCCCGCCCAGCCGCCGTCTTTGGGCCATGCCGGTGAGCCGCGAGCTGTTGCCGACTGCCATTTCCCAGAGAAGATTTATTTTCGTTTCGGCCGCCAGGGCGCAGGGTTGCGCGCCGTCGCGCGCGTGTTCGGCAGCTTTGGCGTGGCTGGGTTAACTCGGCGGTCGAGTGCCTCAACGAGATGCGCGGGTGCCCCGCCCTCCCCCCGCCTGGCCTTAGTGACTCCGAGGCTCAGAGGGCAAGTGTCGGCGAACTCATCGACATCTAGCGCGCTGCGCGCCCGCCGCCGCGCGCCGCCGCGCAAGCCCTGCAGGGGCTCGGCGGCAGCCGCCTGGGCAACTCTGTCAGTTGCCCACGGCGGAGCTTTCAACTTGACCTCGCCCATTTGCCCGCGCAGGGCGGGCCGGCCGACGGCGGGCGCGCGCTGCCAGGCGCGGCCCTGTAGCGCTGGATGTCGCGACGGATTTGCGACGCGAAGTCGGTCTAGACACTCCCATGGCACCCCCCATTATTCAACCTCGCAGTGATTCCAGCTTGGTCAAGGACGAGGCTAAGTTCACCAATTTCAGCGTGCAGACGCCGCGCGCTAACGTCATCACCCTCAGGCCAGAGAAGAATGCCACGGTGGCCATCTTTTCTGTGGCCATGAAGGATGGGCGGCTCTGCATGATCCTCGACGCCAGGGCGGTCAATGACATTTTTACTCAACAGCGAAGACTGATAGGTTTCTAGTGCGGTCAAAAGAGAGCATCCTGGTCCCCCAGGGGGGTCTGGGCAGGATCCGGGGGATGCCAGGGAAAACTGGGGACTCTTGATTTTGATTGCCAGGAGCTACATTTTGACTGCCTGGAGCCAACAGACCACCATTCCCAGGCCACATTTTGAATGCCCGGAGCCAACTGTAGGCCACTTCGTGTTCTTCGTGCTCCCAGAACACTATTCCCATGCCATATTTTGATTGCCCAGAGCCAACTGTAAGCCACTTCGTGTTTTTCGTGTTCCCAGAACACCACTCCCAGGCCATATTTGGATTGCCCGGAGCCAACTGTAGGCCACTTCGTGTTCTTCGTGCTCCCAGAACACCAGTTCCAGGCCACATTTTGAATGCCTGGGGCCAATTGTAGGTCACTTCGTGTTCTTCGTGTTCCCAGAGCACCGTTCCCAGGTCACACTTTGAATGTCCGGCGCCAACTGTATGCCACTTCGTGTTCTTCGTGTTCCTAGAAGACCATTCCTGTACCACATTTTGATTGCCCGGAGCCGACTGCAGCCCATTCGTGATTTTCGTGTTCCCAGAACACCAATCTTGTGCCATATTTTGAATGCCCGAGCAGAGGCAGGCTGAGGCCGAGGCAGGCTGAGGCCGAGGCAGGCTGAGGCTGAGGCGCGCCGAGGCAGGCTGAGGCTGAGGCTGAGGCCAGCTGAGGCTGTGGCAGGCTGAGGCTGAGGCTGAGGCAGGCTGAGGCTGAGGCCGAGGCAGGCTCAGGCCGAGACAGGCTGAGGTTGTGGCTGAGGCAGGCTGAGGCTGTGGCTGAGGCTGAGGGAGGCTGAGGCTGAGGCAGGCTGAGGCCGAGGCAGGCTGAGGCTGAGGCTGAGGCAAGCCCAGGCAGGCTGAGGCTGAAGCTGAGGCACTGTGGCTGAGGCTGAGGCTGTAGCTGAGGCTGAGGCAAGCTGCGGCTGAGGCAGGCTGAGGCTGAGGCTGATGCAGGCTGAGGCTGAGGCAAGCTGAGGCTGAGGCCGAGGCAGGCTGAAGCTGAGGCCGAGGCAGGCTGAGGCTGAGGCTGAGGCTGAGGCTGATGCTGAGGCAGGCTGAGGCCGAGACAGGCTGAGGCTGAGGCTGAGGCAGGCTGAGGCTGATGCAGGCTGAGGCTGAGGCCGAGGCAGGCTCAGGCCGAGACAGGCTGAGGCTGTGGCTGAGGATGAGGCCGAGGCAGGCCGAAGTTGAGACAAGGCGAAGCTGAATGGGGGGGGGAAGGGGGAGGGAGGGGGGGGGGGCTGAGGCAGGCTGAGGCCGAGGCAGGCTCAGGCCGAGGCAGGCTGAGGCTGAGGCTGAGGCAAGCCGAGGCAGGCTGAGGCTGAGGCTGTGGCGGAGGCTGAGGCAGGCTGAGGCCGAGGCAGGCTGAGGCTGAGGCTGAGGCTGAGGCTGAGGCCGAGGCAGGCTGAGGCTGAGGCTGAGGCAAGCCGAGGCAGGCTGAGGCTGAGGCTGAAACTGAGGCAGGCTGAGGCATCCGTAGGAATCCATAGGAATCCGTGGGAACCCATAGGCATCCTTAGGAGTCCGTAGGCATATGTAGAAATTCGTAGGCATAGTTTAGCATCCTCGGGAGTCCTTAGGAATCCTTAGGATTCCTAAGGAATCCTTTGGAACCCATAGGAATCCATAGGAATCAGGATTCCTAAGCATTCCTAAGGTTTCTCAAGGATTCCTATGGATTTTTAAGGATGCCTAAGGATGCCTTAGGAATCTAGGAATCCTTAGGATTCCATTGGGTCCTAAGGCCGTTGCCACTGCGACTATCATTGCGAATGCGACTGCGACTGCGAGAACAGCAGAATTCTACAACTGGATTCTCACTTGAATCTTAAGGGGAATACTTCCAGATATGCTTATACACATCGCTGTTAGGTTGCTTTGCTGGGATAATTCAGGAGCTAGCCCGCGCTCGACTGCCTGCGCCGCCGTCGTGGGATACGGTCAAGATTGGGGTCGAGGGCGACCTCTTATTATCGCGGATGGATGTGAACAGCGCCTTCTACCGCTGCAAGGCCCCACCCGGCGCCGCCGACATCTTCGCCCCGCCCGCGGCCTCGGCGAAGCAGCTGCGCACGCAGGGCCCAGGGCTCAGCCCGGGCATGGCATTGCCCGGGTGAGGAGTTCGCCGCGCCCCATCAGGAGGTGACGGCTACGGGTTGGTCGTGGGATTCATATTTCTGCCAGGCCATGGTCGCGGCCGCCGCGATGTGCGCCGGCGTGCACGGCGACGTTTTCCAGCTCGACAAGAGGCAGGCGCCGCCCGACGTCCGCGGCGAAGGCTGCGGCGCCGCCACCGGCGTGGACAACGCTGGGGCGGCCGGCGCCAACGAGCGCGTCGCGCAAGGCATGGCCGAGCGCAGGCGCAATCAGCTGTGGCGGCGGATAGGCCGCAGTGCAAGGAGGTCGAGCACGGCTCGTCGGGGGCGCAGATCACGGGCGCGACGCTGGATCGCGCTACCGGCCGAATATCTGTTGGGCACAAGCGGCGCTGGAAAGTGTGACCCGCGATCTCTGCTATCGTCGACGACGGCTACGCCTCTGGGGATGCGTTGCACCAGGATCTCGGCCACTACACTTGGTCGGCCATGCTGCGCCGCTGTCTCTCATGCATGCCTCGCGCCGTCTATGAGTTCATCGAGCTCTTTTAGAACGAACCTAGGTGGATGGCGGGCTTGCTGCCGCTGGCATGCGCCGATGCTAAGCGGCCGCGGCCTGACGTCGTCACCGCTTCTGACTCCGAGTGCGCCAGCGCTACCGACAACGGCGGCTTCGGCGTGGCGGCCGGGACTTCCCCTCCCGATGCGATCAGGCACCAGGGTTGGCAGAGCGAGAGGTGGCGGCGCGCCGTCGAGGCCGCAGCGGCCGCGCGCCAGCGCGCCCGTAGCGAGGCGCCCTCAGACACGGCAGTTTGCAGGCGCCCCCCGAGCTCCCGCCAGACGAAGTCCCCGTGGATTTCTTTGACATCTCCAGGCGCGACATGGGGGACTTCCCCGACTGTAGCCCGAAGGTCAGAGGGCGTTGGCGGCGGGCCGAGGGCATCGCGTCTTCTGCGGGGCGCTCCGCCGCCATCGCAGCCAGGGGCCGTCCCCGGTCGCGGCATCAGTTCCACCATCGCCACCTTGCTGGGCTACAGCATGGACTTCGTTCTGGCGCGGGCCAGGGGCAGAGCCGCCGACGCAGTCGTTGACAGTCGCTGCCATCAGTTGGCCGCGCTCTCTTTGTCGTCAGACTCTAAATTCAATGTCTCGTTGGCTGCCCTCCGAGTTCAACGCGGCAGACGGCGCCTCCTGGCCCGAGGGCCAGCCGCCGGTCGGCGGCGGCGGACGCGACCCCAGCGACGCCCGACCACCCTGGGGCGATCGGCCAGGAGGTGCGTTCGCCACTTGGGCAGGCTGCGACGAGCTGGCTAGGGGCGGAGGCCCTCGCGAGGCACTGGGCGAGTTCGACGACGGCCGCTGGCAGTCTGCGGGCGCCGGCAACCCATTGAAGCATCTCGGCTTCGAGGGCGCCGCCGACCACGACGTCGATTCCAGCTCGGACACCGGCTCCGGGGGCAGCTTCCGCACACGCGGGCTGCGATGCGAGCCCGACGACGACTTGCTTTCGGAAGGCTTCGAGAGTCAGCGGCGCCCGCGCGGGCGCGCTTCGTTCCGGTCAGCATGACCATGGCAAAGATAACCCTAGCCCTCGGCCGGTTCAAGATGAAGGAGCGCCCCGCGGACGACGGGGCTTGACCAGGCGGCCCTTCCACGGCGGCCGCGGAGATCACAATGGCGGGAATGGATGAGCGTCTCCCTGCGCGCGGCATTCGGCGACGATTCGGGCGCGAATTTCACCGCTGCTGCCGCTAGCCGCGACGGAGAAGTACCCCTAGGTCTCTTCTCAGGATCAGAATGCCATGCCAAACAGTTTGGCTGCAGGGTGAGAGTTGCATCAGTTTTGAGTCCTTTAAAGGGCCCGACTTTGATTTTGACGAACCTGCGGTTCTGAGCGTTGTTTTGGGTTGGTTGAGGGGCCGTAGAATCAAGGGCATTGTTGCGGCCGTTCCCTTCGGTAGTTGGACCCTTGCCGTCTTTAAGCAAATGTGTCGCAGCTGGTGCCCTCGTGGGATCCCTGATGCCACCCCTGCTGAGCACGCCCGTCTGACCATTGGCAGTTGCACCATGGGCATTGACTCGTGGCTCGTGGACTAATTCGCGCTTGCATTCGATTTGTTACCCCTCTCCTCGTCGAGAACCCCCATGCCTCGAAGGCCTGGAAAGACACTTTGATGGTCGCTCTCTGTGCTCGCAGGTCTAGTGAGCAGCTCGCAATCGATCAGTATGCGCTCGGCCCGTTTCTTCGGTTGGCATTCGCCCCAACTCGAGAATCAAAACGTTATGTGCCATGGCCGCGGCGCGTGTCGCTTCTCGCAGAAACCGCGCGTCGCGCTGAGGGGTAAAGTGCCTGGTGGCAGCGTCAACTGCACCGCTCTCGCTGCCGCCCGCCCGAAGCATATGCGCAATGCTGTCGCCCTCTGGCTATCCAGGTCCTGGGGTGCCATTCGCGGGGTTCAGCTGTCTCGTATCTCTTGTTCGGTTCTTTCAGTGCCTCAGGCGGCCCCGGGGCATAGTGGGCCCGGCAATGCATGTCGAGTGGCCTCCGAGAGGCGCATTTGAAGTCTTCGGTGCCTGTCGCGCCCGGGCACCTCTTCGGCGTCTGAGTTGATTCGCCAAGCAGGTAGTTTAGACGGAGATTTGGGAAAAAGGCGTCGCGATGCCCCCCTCTTGGGCGCTTCCCTGTTGAGCGCCCCCGATGCGAGGGGGGGGGGGCGGTAGGGCGCGACGGGAGCTGGCCCCTCGCCGTCGCCTTGCGTCGCCTCCTGGGTGGCACTCGTCGCCGCGGCTGGACTCGCCGTGGAAAGCTGGCCAGAATGCGCTTCGGGAGAGGCCCGGGGAGCGCCGACGTCGACGTCTTCTTCGGGTTCCCCCGGAGAGGGGCGACGGGGGGGGGGGCGCGCAGGGGCGGGCGCGGCCGGGGCCCGGCCTCGCAGCGGTCGGCCTAGGGGTTGCTCTGGGGAAGCAGCAACCAGGGCAGCGCGCGGTCGCAAAGTCGTAGCTGCGCCATCGGGGGGTGGCCCTGTTCGGGATTTCGGCAGGCGGGCGGCGCAGTGGGCGGGGGGGCGGGGCGGCAGACTGCAGGGGCGAGGGGGGTGCTGGGGCCGAAGGGGCGCGGGGGAGTTGAACGTCAGACGGAGTGGGGGGGGGTCTGGGGGGGCGTGGGAGATGGGGAAGTGCGCAGCAAGTCGCATAAATTGTCAAGGTGATCCTTGCTCATTGCAGTTGTTCGGCGTGGCACGCAGCATGGCTGGAAAGTGAAATTCAGGAGCTGCTCGTCCTTGCGCTGGCGTGCGCGTTCGGAACTTGCCGGTCCATTGTCTGAGAGCGTTTTTTTTTGTCCTTGGACCTGCCAGGTCAGAGTTCGGCTCTCTGCAGCGAATGTGGCTTCCTTATACGATGTCAACGAATTTCAATATCAACGTGTACTTTGTGCGCGTCGAATCGGCGCTCCCGCGCAGCCTTCGCACCTTGGTTGCGTCGGCGCTGATCGTCCAGATTTCAGATTGTATGCGTTTCCGCCGTGCCTGCGAAGAATCCTCGGCATGCATCAGTCGGGCCACCAATGCCGCGGTGTCGTTGCGTTCCCGGCGCGGCGAGCTCAGCGACCTCATGCTGCAGCGGCAGCGCAAGCAAGGCCAGCGGCCGCCCTGTCCGCGCGGTCGCCTTCAGCCTTCATCTTCTGAGCCGGCGCAGGCGCCCGGCCGCCAATGGAGGGGCGGGCCCCGATCGGCGTGGCCAACGGAATAGCTCAGCACGCCGTGCTGACCTGTCGTGATTCTGGCTGGGGCTTCTTAGATGTCCGCCGCGCTTCCAGCAAAAACCTGGAAAGCAGCGGCGCGCGAGAAGACTGTCTAGCGCGCGCTCGCGCCGCGCCATTGCCCGCGCGCCCGTGGACGCGCGGATTCGCTCATTCACTCCGAACACCGCGCAAACGCGCGCCCGCGCACGCGCGCGCGACGCACAGCGCACAACGCACGCGCACAACGCACACGCACCCGCACAGCGCACAACGCACAGAGCACAACGCACAACTCACAACGCACAACCTACATATAACGGCGCACAACGCACGGCGCACAACGCACAACGCACAACGCACGACGCACGACGCACGACGCACAACGCACAACGATGCACAACGCACAACGCACAAAGCACAACGCACGACGCGCAATGCGCAACGCACAACGCACAACGCACGACGCACAACGCACAACGCACAACGCACGACGCACAACGCACAACGCACGACGCACAACGCACAACGCACGACGCGCAACGCACAACGCACAACGCACGACGCACGACGCACAACGCACAACGCACGAGGCACGACGCACGACGCACATCGCACATCGCACAACGGACAACGCACAACGCACAACGCACAGCGCACAGCGCACAACCCACGCGCACACGCACGCACGCACCCACACGCACACGCAGACACACGCGCACGCGCACGAACTTGTTGAGATCGGTATATCGCGCGGGCGTTTAGCGAGGGGGCGCGAGCCAGCCAGGGGCGCGTGGATATTGTCACTGGGGCGACGAAGCCTCCAAGATATCATGGCCTCCACTTGCTTCCTTCCATGCGTGTTTCCTGCCCCTCCCTCCGTGCAGATACCTCCGGCCATGGTGCGCGAGCCCCCCTCCCAGCCATCCTCCTCCGCGGCTGACCGCGCGTGCAAATCAAAGCACCCGCGTGAACGCAACGTGGTCGTGTAGGCAGTGTGCGTGCGTGCGTGCGCGCGCGCATGTGTGTGTGTGTGCGTGTGTGTGTGTGCGTGTTTGTGTGTGTGTGTGTTTGTGTGTGTGTGTGTGTGTGGTGTGTGTGTGTGTGTGTGTGTGTGTGTGTGTGTGTGTGTGTGTGTGTGTGTGTGTGTGTGTGTGTGTGTGTGTGTGTGTGTGTGTGTGTGTGTGTGTGTGTGTGTGGGGGGGGGGGGGTTGTGTGTGTGTGTGTGTGCGTGTGTGCGTGCGTGCGTGCGTGCGTGCGTGCGTGCGTGCACGCGTGCGCGCGTGCGTGCGCGCGCACGACAGGCACATTAACAGGCAAAGATAGGCGGACAAGTGGGGGAGCCCGCGAGGGGCGTGGAAGAGCGCACAGCGGCGAGGTTTCCCAACTTCCTGGCCACCTCATCTCAACTCTCTCCCCCGTCGCGCTTTCCGGGGCTGCGCGATGCTTTCATTGTCCTTTTCCTCCTGCTTTTCCTCCTCCTCCTCCTCCTCCTCCTCCTCCTCCTCCTCCTCCTCCTCCTTGTGAGCCTCAACCTGCGCCGCATGATTCCGTCGGTGCCCGACGGCGCGGCGTCCCCGACGGCGCGATGCAAGTGCACTACGCGTCCCCGTAACGCCCAGCTCTGTGCAGGCGGCGCGCGCTCTTCCAGACCCTTGCGGGCGCCCTCTTCTCAGGGGCAACGTTGGGGGGGGCATGTGCTCACGGGGGACGCGTCGACCCGCCATGACCCATGCATCGCCGACAGGAGGCCCAATAGCTCCAACCTCGCCCAGGACCGTGCGGCTACGCTAACGGGGGCCCAATCGCCGACTGATCGGCGATGCATCGCCGATTCCACGTCGATGTTTTCCTCCCTCCCCTAGCATTCGCTGTGGCCTCTCCTGGCCCCCAAGCGATCGGCGACGGGCCGTGAGGTAAGGTCCGTGGGGGTTCGATGTCACCGCGCGGTGTGTCACCGCACTGTTTCGGGGCTCACATTCCCACATTCAGCCTTGATTTGACGTCGCATTTTTTCGTGACGCTGACCCCCATAAGTCTGGACCTATTCCCGGGCACCGGCTCTTCATCTCGAGCCGTGCGGTCCCGAGGCCCGCGGGGGGCCTGCAAAGGCGAAACACCTCCCGTCACGTTTTTTGTCCTATGCGAGGGGGTTTGGGGAAGTCCCCACATTCAGCTTCATTCGGTGTCCTCCCGGGGCAACGATAGGGGGATAGCTTCAGGGGGAGAAGCATCGAGCTGGAATCGGCGATACGTCGCCGATAGATCGGCGATAAGTCCCCGATAGCGAATCCGCGCGTTCCTGTGCGGGGTGGGCTATCGAACCGCTATCGACGATGTATCGCCGATTCCTGCCCGATGTTTCCCCCCCCCCCCTCGAGCTGGTTTCCTAATGGTTTAACATCATAACTCGGGCCTCCTACCTACGCCCGTTCGAGACGATCTGGGAACCCCCAGGACGCCCGCGGCGAGGCGCAGCCGCTGGAAGGCATCCCGAAGCTGGAAAGCTGCTGAGAACCCACGAAGACGCTTCACAAACTTTGAAAACGTCGAACCTCGTCACTTCCTCACCCCCTCAAGCATGGCAGCCCCCCCGCAGGACGCGGACAGGCTGGCCGAGCAGATGCCCTGAGCCTATAGCTTATCCAACCCTACCGTTGCCCCTGCGTCCTGCCCCCCCGCCTTGGCTGACCCCTCCGCGCATCCTCCACTCACTCCTCATACTCCTCTCCCCGTTGCTCCCCTGATCCTCCCTCCTGTGCTCCTTCTTCCTCCTCCTCCTCCTCCTCCTCCTCCTATTCCTCTTCCTCTCCTTCCACCTCCTTTCTCCTCCTCCTCCCCCTCCTCCTTCCTCCTCCTCCTCCTCCCCCTCCTCCGTCTTCCTTCCTTTCTTCCCCTTCCTCCCCATACTACCGTTGCACCTCAGCCCTGCCCTGACCTCGCCTCCAGCTGGCCCTCCGCCGCGTTGTCGCCGCGCCCGCGGAGGCCGGGAAGGGCGGCGCGAGCAGCTCCAGGACCCGCCCCACTCCCGTCGGCGCGTCGCCGCCGCCCGCTTTCGCGGCGGGAGGAGGGTCGGAGGCGTGGAGAGGAGGGAGATGAGGGGCGGAGGGGAGGTTGGATGGGGAGGAGGAGGAGGAGGAGGAGGAGGAGGAGGAGGAGGAGGGGAGGACCCGTTGGGACTGGAACCACAGCCCGGCAAAACGCAGACGTGGTCATCCCGGACCGCGTGTCCTCCCAGCTTGGAGGCGCACTGGCAAGCCTGCGGCCTGACGCTGGTCGGGGCACCGCTCTCCGAGCAGCCGCAGCCGCGGAAGCTCCCGCGCCTGGACGAGGGGCGCCGGGCTGATTTGGGCGCGGCCGACTACCCGACGGAAAGCGCCGAGGACGCCGCCAGACGGGTCGCGAGCTGCTCTCGAAGGTCGCCGAGTTGCCTTCGCTGGCCTCCCCGCGCCTGCCCGCGGCGCAGACGGCGGCCCTGCTCTGGCGGCACCTGCGAGAACGGCAAGCTGACGCACGCACTGCGCACGACGCCCCCCGGGCAGGCGCGGCTGGCCTCGGCGGCCTACGACGCTGCCTTCCGGCCGCCTACGAAGAGCTCGGGCACCTCGACTCGCTGTCGTCGCAGCGGCAGCGCCGCCGACCCCCGCTGCGCTTGGGCGGGTGCGGCCTCCGCAGCCAGGAGGAGCTGGCCCCAGCGGCCTGGGCGTCTTCCTGGGCGCAAGGCCCCATGGCTGCCCTGACGGAGCGGACGGGCCCGGCCTCCCTGGACGACCTGGGCGCGAGCCCTCTGCCGCTCGCCGCTGCCTGCCGGAGCAGCCGCGTCGGGCTCGCGGCGCCCCCGCCGCCGCCGCCCCGCTGGTGCGTTGACGGCCCCGCCTGGGCCTAGCTCGCAATGCGCCTCTGAAGAAACTCCAAGAAGGCGCTCGCCGCAAGGATAGACCAAGAGAACTCCACCTCCTTGCTGGGCCCCCTGGACTCCGAGGAGGACCAGGCGCTGCTCCGTTCCCGCGGCGGGCCAGGCGCGGCAGGCTGGCAGACTGCCTCGCCCGGCGAGAGCGGGCAGCAGCTGGGCGACGCTGACTTCTGCTCCGCGGCTCGCTGCCTCCTGGGCCAGGCAGGGCGCGGCGCCCCCGGGGGCCACCTGCCAAGATTGCACCCGCACTGGGGAGTGGGCTGGCCAGCGCAGCGGCGACCCGCTCTGCTCGAAGGCTCGCCGCGCCTGGCGCTGCGCGCGCGGGGGCGGGCTGAAGGAGCGCGGCGGCGACCTGGGGGCCGCGCGAGAGCGAATCCACGCTCTGTGCGGCTGCTGCGTTGCGCGGCAGACGCCAGCGCCGGCCTGGGGCCGCTGGCGCTGGCGCTGCGCTGGCTGCGAGGCAGGCGGCGCGGCGGCCGCGCGCCCAACGTCGGAGGCGGCCTGCGCCAGGGCTGCGGGACTACGCTGCGACGGCCAGGCGCGAGGAAACCATCCTCGACCTGCAGAGCTCCAGCGGGCGGACGCCCCGCGGTTGCTCGTCGACGTCGCGGCGCGCTACGGCGTCCCTGGCGACGCCGACGGGCTCCGCGCCGCCGCGGTGCGTGACGGCGCCGTCAGCAGGGACGCCGAGGCTGACGCGCGCGCCGCGTACCCTGCAGGGCGTGCGCCGCGGCGCACGGTGCCACTCGCGCTCGAAACGGGCGGCTGCCACGGCCCGGCCGCCCTGCGCCAGCTGCGGCGCTTGGCGCGAGACCGCGCGCAGCTCCTGGCCAGGGGCGACGGCCCGGCGGCCGCGGCGGCAACCAGCACCCTGGTGCGCCGCTGGGGCGCCGAGCTATCGGCGGCGCTCCAGGCCGCCACGGCGCGCCAGTTGCGCGCGGCGCTCGGGGCGGAAGCGGGGCGGCCGCTCGCCCAGGCCGCCCTGGCCGCCTCGCTGGCCAGGCGAGCTGGCGCGCCGGCGGGCGACCGGCGCTGGGCTCGCCAGGAGGCGAAGGGGTTGTACACCGCGGGCGCGGCGCTCACGTAGTTCAGAGTAGCGGGGGGGGGGGGCAGGAGGGGAGGAGGAGGGGGGAAAGGGTCAGAGGAAGGGTGGGAGGGAGGGAGGGTTGATGATGATGATGGTGATGATGATGCCAATAAAGGGGTGATGATGTTTATGCTGTTGTTGGAGATGATAAAGTTGGTGGTGATGCTGCTGATGATGACGATCATTATGATGAAGGTGTTGTTGCTGTTGGTGGTGATGTTGCTGTTGGTGTTGATGTTGTTGTTGTTGTTGGTGGTGTTGTTGCTGTTGTTGTGTTTGTTGTTCTTGTAGTTGGCGTTGTTGTTGTCATGGTTGGTTTTTCGTGCCCGAGGAATAGCTATCGTTGATCCCCCCCGCCCAGTGCACATTAAAGTCTTGGGTGTCGAATTGCGCCCCTGGCCCCCGAGTTACAACGACAACGGTTCCCGCCTGATATTTCTTCACAATGGATTCCCACCGCGCTCTCGCGCGGGATTTCCTTGAAATTCATTCAGAGAGCTCGCTCTCGCGTGCTTCCTCGCATTGTGTTCAGACGCCGCGCCCTCGACACTCAGGAATCACGCCCTGGCTTTGTCTCATCCCACGATTTACTTACGAATCGCTGTATCGCTGGGCATTCCCCCGCGGTTCATGCAGGACGCACGCTTCAGCAACCCGCCAACTCGACCTGGCCACTTGTGCCCGCCTTCAACCCGCCTGTTCGGATCTACCCTCCCGGTTTGCCGGTTCTGCCACGTGCTTTCTGGTCCTAGCCCCCCTTTCGCTACTCGTCTCTCTCGTGCGTGTTCCATCCTCCTCCCTCCCCTTTCTTCCTTTTTCCCATCCGTCCTCTTCTCCCCTGCTGTACGACTGCATACAATTCGCTGTGGGTGCGAAGGATCTAATACCCCCAAGGGTGTAATATCGACGACCAAGAGGGCGGGTGTCTCAGGATTTGGATATACGTGTCGAATGGCACGCGATCGGATAAGAGCGAACCATATTAAGATGATTGTTGGTTTTGATGGTGGTGATGCTGTTGTTGTTGTTGTTGTTGTTGTTGTTGTTGTTGTTGTTGTTGCCGCTGCTGCTGCTGCTGTTGTTGTTGTTGAACATTATTAATTCTAAAGAATAATTATTGTTGGGACCCCTGGTGCACGGCCCCCCTGCGCCGCCTAGGCCGCAGCTACATTTTCATCATTTTCGTGAGGAAGCCTCAGGTAATTCGATGTGATCAAGATCCGGTTGTTTTGTTCCCCCCCGCTTTCCCTTGCAAAAAACACTATAAAATGACATTTCTTGTTCTAATATAATCAAATTTCAAGAATCCCTTGCAAAAAATAAGGTAAAGTGGACATTCGCGCGCGCAAGACGAAATCCTTCCAAAAGCTTAGTGTTCGGAGCGATTTTAACATAAAAACATCAAAAAACCAATGGTTTTTCAACAAAAAAATGTCAAAATCTCATCCCGCGCGCTCTTGCGGATTCGTAGGAAACCCAACACTTTTTAAACATTTCTGTCAAACGGGCTTTTGCGAGCAACTTTTTCGAACTTCTGCGACAACGGTTGCGCACCTGCCAGGGCCATCATCCCTGTCAAATAATACCATGCGGGACACATTCGTTTTTTCTTCGCGCGCGCACGCCGAAATCTCCAAAAACCATTGGGCTTCTTAAGAATTTTAGCACCGCGCATCATAAAATCACACGAATCGCACCGTAGGTCCTCGAAAAACACCTGCACGACTTTTCAAAATTTCCACCCGCGCGCGCTGTCCGAATCCTAAAAAACCAATGGAAGGCTTAACAACTTCTGTGGGTTAACAAGGCTTAACAACTTCTGTGGGTGTACGAACGTAGGCTTAACAACTTCTGTGGGTGTGTACTCCACGCCAGTGTAGTAGCCACGGTCGTCCGCAGGCCACGAAGTGAAGTGTCCGAACGTCATAGGGCGGGAAGCTGGGTGTGGGTGGTGGCGAAGAGTCGTGTGGATATTTGGTAGAGCTTGCACTGCCCCCCCACAAAGTGGGGGTATTGGCTGGCGTCGCATGAAAACCCTGGCACTGGTGAGAACACTGAGCGTTCGGGTAAAGTGATTGTTGTTGTTGTTGTTGTTGACGGCGAGTCTGGGATTCAGGGAAGATGAGTTGCAGATTTGGGCCGACGCAGACCGCATTCAACTCAAGTGCCGACCTCCATGAGCCCAAGCGCGGATGGCAGAACGACGCCATCAAATACACCGGAATACTTGCACATCACCGAGGACCAGATGAAGAATAAGGGCATTTCCGCGCCCATTGAACAGACGCTCTCGACAATCTCGTTTGCCCACAACGCACTGGCCAGTAGATACGGCGAGACAGCGTGCAACGCGCTCTATGGGCGACGATCTCACTACTACCGACTTTCGACGGATCGACACAAGCCGAGCAAAACGACAAAATACCGCGAGGAGAATCCCTTACACAGTACCAACCACGTATATGCGGGACCGTCTTGAGCGCAGTCATCGAGCATGCGGCCAAGGACCGATTGCGACGAGCAGAGCACCGCCGCATTCGACCGGCATTTGAATGGGCCAAACTCAAGCCAGGACAACAGGAGGACATTTGGTTTGAGCCAGCGACCAAAGACGTAAGCGGATGGCGTGTCCATCCATGGTTCATACAATCAGCAAAACAGGAAGTTCGATGTGATATTCTTGGTAAGCCAGAAACGGCATCCACATGTGTAGCGGCAGTTTGTACGCGAGATTGTTGAAGATTTTAGCACCAACGCTGCGGAGACATACGGCCTCATCTTGCACCGCAGCACGCACGACCCATGATGGCACCTATCACGGGAGAGCGCGCCAGGAGCAGGGAGGAGGATTCTGGAATCAGGATTTGTTCTAACCGCTGCTGCTGCGCGCATGGGAAAGCATACCCCATTCAGAGTGGCCAGAGGTGTCACGACACACCCGCATTTACCCACAACGAGATGAGGACATGGAGGTACGCCTTACATGGTGGAGACGAGTGCGACGAGCGTAGTGTCTTCG